GGGGGGGGGGGGAGGGGCGGAGGAGCAGCTTGAGAACTATAAACCAAAAAAACAACAGATTGTAACCTCCTTCCCCTCTCCCACCCCCGACTCCTCCCCCAATTACTTTAGTCTCCTAAATAATATGTAGGAAATTACTAGGAATAGCACTCATTCGGTATTTCGAAGAGCAAAGATGAAATGACAATGGCATTTGTCACTTTTTTTTTCTTTTTTAACAAAGCCTTATATTATATTCCCCATCAAAGGTTGATGGCCAGGGATCCTCACAATTCGACCCCGAGTTATCCTGACTGCATCAGCCAGTCTAGCTTACGGCCCCAGCCGAACCAAGGACCACATTGACAACAATCCGACCCATCAATCCATGACCTCGCTTTCTTCAATTACGTTATCTCCATCTGTCACTTTTATTGGCCTTCCACATAAAGCAAAGATTAAAAAAAAAAAGAAAAAAAAAGGCAATGGCTTGAGCCTGTATTTAACAAGCGTCTCATCTTTCCCCACCTCGATCTCTTGCTTGTTTTCCTCATCGACCAACCTCTGTTCTCCATCTTCTCCATCGTCTCGACGTTCTCCTCCATCGTTCTTCTCCGTTGTCCTCGCCCATCGTCCTCCCTCGTTCTTCTGCGTTGTCCTTCTCCATTCTCCCCCCTTCTCCTCCGTCCATCTTCCCTCGGTGGTCTCTTCCTCCGTATCAACGAACCTCCGTTCTCCCTCTCCTCCATCGTCTCGTACTTCTCCTCCATCATTCTTCTCCGTCGTCCTCGTCCGCCGTCCTCCCTCGTTCTTCTGCGTTACCCTTCTCCCTTCTCCCCCCTTCTCCCCCGTCCATCTTCCCTCTCAGTGGTCTCCACCTCGATCACTTTTGCTGGTTTTCCTCCTTATCGACGAACCTCCGTTCTACCTCTTCTCCATTGTCTCGTTGTCCTCCTCCATCGTCCTCGTCCGTCGTCCTCCCACGTTCTTCTGCGTTGTCCTTCTCCATTCTCCCCCCCTCTCCTCCGTCCATCTTCCCTCCACAAACCATCGTCTTTGTCCTCCTCTCCTCTTCCATCGTTCGAAAAAGGACTCCTCGTCCTAGCCCTTCGCCGTTTTCTGTCCTCCTCCCAAGCTCTCCTCCCTCTATTCTCCTCAGTCCATGTCCTCTCCGCCATCCATCATGCTCATCATCCTTCCTCGTCCTCCGTCCTGCACCGTTCATCCTTCTCCATCATCCTTGTCCTCTTGCCTCCTCCTCCATCAGTCATCCTCCTCTGTCCATACTCACCACTCTAGAGAGAGAGAGAGAGAGAGAGAGAGAGAGAGAGAGAGAGAGAGAGAGAGAGAGAGAGAAATGTCGAACACCTCCACCTCCCTTCTCCATCCTTCGCCTCAATTGGCCTCGTCCCATATCACTTGAGAGAGAGAGAGAGAGAGAGAAACAGGATCGAACGTCAAGCACCTCCCTCCTCTTCCATCCTTCGATTCAATCAACCTTACCCCTTTCTTGCACAAAGTCCAGAGCTTCCATCCGCCGTGGTGTCTCTTTCCCCCTCACCCCCCAACCTTTCTACCCCCCACCTCCTTTCCCTCCACTTGGGCAATCACCCTCAGCCCGAACGCAATACTCACGCACGGCCACCTCCATCACAGCTGAAGAAAAAACGCAAAAGGGGAAAAAACTGGAACAAAAGACGACAAACTCACCTTGATCCGCCATTCCAACCAGATGCACAAATCAACGGCTGACCTATCCTTTTCACCATTTCGTCTCCGGGCGCCCTTTCCCTTCACATCCTCACCGACAGCCTTCTTCCCAAACTTCTCTCTACACTCCTTTTTCACCATAACCCATCGTGATCCATGATCACAAAGACAGCGATCACACCACGTGATGCCGCTCCCAAGCTTGCATTTCCCTGGAACGTTTGTGCTCCCACCTGCCCGCCTCTTGCCCCTCTCCTCTCAGGTACGACCCTCGTTTTGTCTGTCGAGCAGTCGAGCCCCTCCCCATACGCTACTGGCTCGCTCTCGATCGCGCCTCCAGCTGGCAACGCCAGACCACTCTCCTGTCGGATCCTTCCCATGCAGTCACGTTCTTTTTCCCTCCCCGAGCTGGCCACCTCCTGCCCCTCCCCTCTCCTCTCAGAGAGCGACTCTCATGCAGTCTGCCCCCAGTCGCTTCCTCTCGGATACCACACTTGCTCTCTATGCCACTGCCGGCTGCTCTCGAATGCCATGCTCGTTCTGTGTCCCCACCATGTCTCCCAATCCGCCATGCAGTCCCCTCGCCCCTCTTTTCCGCCAGGCAGTCTCCTCTCCCCTCCTTGCCACCCTGACGCGCCCCCACCTCTGCTCTGTGACGCCCTTCTCTCAATCGGGCTCATGGATCACTACGCTCGCTCGCTCACAACGGATCCCTACCGTCTTCCCCCAAACACAGCGCACCCTCATTTTCTCTGTATCTGCCCGGAAATACAACCTTGTATACATTCATTTTAAGGGTGCGTTATGTTCGGGGGAAGACGGTAGTGCTGCTGATCCGTTTCAATTCACATGTCGAATGGCGCCAGTCGGCCGCACCCAGAAACTTTGAATAGAGCCAGTCGTCCGTAGCCCAGAAACTTTGTGTCGGCCACTCCTGGGGCAAGGTCCCACTTGCACGGATTAAGAGATCCTGGCCGTTGACCTTTTCTATCTACGGTCAATATCGCTTAATTCGTGTAAGTGGGACCTATCCCCCGGGTTGAACCCGGATGCGGCGATCGAGAAACTCGCCAGGCCACCTGCGCACTGGGTTCTGCCTCTGGATGCGGCGATCGAGAAACTTGCCAGGCCACCTGCGCACTGGGTTCTGCCTCCGGATGCGGCAGTCGAGAAACTCGCCAGGCCACCTGCGCACTGGGTTCTGCCTCCGGCCCACCTTGGTCCCAACATAACTTTTCCCCACACTGGCGTGGCATCACGGGTCTCACGTCGGAGCATCAGGCGAGACCCACTGTTTGCTTGAAGAGTACTGCGGATTGGGGGGGCCGGGAAAGAGAGCAAGGAGAAGGCGGTGGAGGAGGGGGAGAGGAAGCGGGAGGCGGGAGAAAGAGTGTGAATGCGACTCGTCAGCCTTCCACCCTCTCAGTCCTCCCCGCCCCTCTCTTCCCCCTACTTCCTCCCGCCCGCATTGCCCCGACTCCCCACCTGCGGACACACCGACCTTTTTTTCTTTTTCAATCGATCAGTGAATCAATCAATCAATCAACCAATCAATCCACTCCGTCAACCTTCCGCCCGCCCGATTTTTCCAAAGAGAAAACAAAAAACAAATCAATCAATCAGTCAGTTAATCGGTCAAATTGATTGATTGACTGATTGATCGACTGGGTGTGTGTGTGTGTGTGTGTATGACAGCAAGAGAGGAGAGAGAGAGAGAGAGAGAGAGAGAGAGAGAGTGCATCCCCGTCCACACCTCCCCCGCCCCACCCCTCACACCCTTCCCTCCTTCCGCTTTTCCTGCCCGCCTCCCACGCATTCTTCGACTCCCCCTCCCCGTTTCCCACCGTTCCTTCTGCTCCTGCTCCCGCTCCTCTCCCGCTCCTCCTCCCACTCCTCCCCCTCCTCCCACGCGTTTGTTAACTCACCTCCCCGTTTCCCGCCGTTTCTCCTCCCGCTCCTTCTCCTCCTCCCGCTCCTCCTCCCCCTCCTCCAGCTCCTCCCACACCTCCTCCTGCTCCTCCTCCTCCCGCTTCTCCCCCTGGGCCTCCTCCCGGATCTCCTCCCGCCCGTTCCCATTTCCCCTCCTGATCCTTCTCCAGCTCCTCCTCCCGCTCCTCCTCCAGCTCCTCCCACTCCTCCTCCCGCTCCTTTTCCCACTCCTCCGCCAAACAACGTGACAAAGATCCTGCCATAGCCATCTCCTGCAAAAAAGAAAAAGAAAAAAGGCCCACCACGTGGCTAGCCACAGAGAGAGAGAGAGACTGACTTGCTCCACCACAACTTCGTCCTCCTCCCGCTCCTTCTCCCGCTCCTCCTGCTCCTCCTCCTCCTCCCGCTGCTTCTCCTGCTCTTCCCCCCCGTTCCTCCTCCCACTCCTCCTCCCGCTCCTTCTCCCGCTTCTCCTCCTCTTCCTCTACCTCCTCACCAGTCCACTATCCTCCCTCCATCTCCCTCTTCCTCCATACTCACCAGGATCCCCTCTCCTCCCTCCATCTTCCCTCTTCCTCCATCCTTACCTCCGCCATCCATCCTCCCCCGTGTGTGGTCACGCTCGTGACCGTGTATGTCAAAGATTATCGTCGCACGCCTGTTTTCTCTTGTCCTCACCCGCTGCTCCTCCCTCTGTGTTTCCCTCCTCGTTACCTCCATCAACCATCCTCCCCCCTGCATGGTCGTGCTCGTCAGCGTGCGTGTCGTGCTCGTCATCGCATGCCCATTGGCCCTTGTCCTCATTCGCTCCTCCTCCCTCGATGTTTCCCGATTCCGAAGTTTCCAGACGTCTACAGCAACAACCAACGTCCAACCCCGGTGACAAATGGGAAAGAATTGCTATCCTGCCCGGGGACAAATGGGAAAGAATTGCTATCCTGAGCGGCGCCCACGAAACCTCCAACGGATCCTGCCCAGCTGGTCCGCCGCGAAGGGACACGACTGCCGCCACGGTCCTGCGCCTGGCCCCTGTTTCGGGCTCGCCCCTCGCTCGCTCGTGGCTGCTCCCACGGCTCCCTTTGCGACCCGTCGGTTCCCTCTCTATTTCCTCCCGGGTACCGTGGGCCCCTGCCACGGTTTCCCGTGGGCCCGCGGTCGCATGTGTCGCTGGGTCCTTCGTAACTTTTCTTTTTTTTTTTTCCCAAATCAAGTTTGCATTTCGTGACTCTTAAGAGTATAGAGAAGAGAAGAGAAAATTTGAATTTTGAGGGGGAAAAAAGCCTCTGTGGTAAGGCCACAGGGCTTCACTTTCTGTGAGACGAATCTGGACAACATGTGTGGCCGGTGCATTCAAAAGATAAAAGAAGAAAAAAGAGTGACGCTGAAGAGCCTGCCAGGCTGTCCGCACATTGCGGAGGCAACGATGGCTCAAGCCTTACAACTAGGCCCCTTACAAGTTTCTGAAAATGAGGAGACGAATCTGGACAACATGCGTGGCCGGTGCATTCAAAAGATAAAAGAAGAAAAAGGAGTGACGCTGAAGAGCCTGCCAGACTGTCCTCACATTGCCGAGGTAATGATGGCTCAAGCCTTACAACTAGGCCCCTTACCAGTTTCTGAAAATGAGAGAGATATGCCTGTTCTCCGGGGCAAGGTCCCACTTGCACGGATTAAGAGATTCTGGCCGTTGATCTTTGCTATCTACGGTCAGTATCGCTTAATTCGTGTAAGTGGGACCTAGCCCCCGGTGAGGTTTTCTACACTGCTCGCATCAGGGCAGAAAGTAGAAAACCTCACCGGAAAAGCCGTTTCCCACCCATAACCACAACGCCAAAACATGTTGGGGAACGAATTTCTGAAAAATCTAGGACATGTAGAAAAAAAAACAACACCTCCTCAATTACCTTGCGCCATATTCTCTGAGTGAGAAAGGAGAAGAGAAAACCAGAACAATCAGGGCGCACTCACACCTTCTCCATTTTGTATGTATCTGACCACATATTTCTGGCTGTATCTGTCCGCAATTACGTTCAGAAATCAGTAAACAAGTCCGAGCGTCAACATCTCACCACACATTCACGCTAAATCTCTCGGCCGTCAATCAATTGCATCCTTGGATTGCTGATGCCACAAGCAGCCAGAATTCTTCTTAAAAAAAAAAAAAGAAAAAAAAAAAGGGAATTCTTCTTTCGAAAAAACTATTCCCGAGCAAAACAGTAAATTACGTGAAACCGCGAAGCGCAATAGACGCCGTAAAATAAGAAGAGGCAGTAAATGTCGCCAATATTAATACAGCAATAATTCAGTTCCTGTCAGTTCCTGAGCCTTTTTTTCCTTTGGAAAGTTCCCGGGCAATACAAAAGCTCCTTATGTATTTTTTAGCAGAGTTTTCTACCACGGTCCCGCACCTTTCCTCGCTTGCCATGACAAAGAACAAAAAACAATAAGCACAGAAGAACAAAGAAGCGACGAGTTAATCACTTCACTCACAAATCTTGCTATCTTAGCCCCCCGAATCCGATCCGTCCAATTGGTGAATGCTCCTCCTCTGTCCTTTTCTCAACACCCATCAATCAATCAATCAATCAATCAATCAATCAATCAATCATTCAAATCAATCAATCAATCAATCAATCAATCAAATCAATCAATCAATCAATCAATCAACGAATCCATCCCTGGACCATGGCCAAACTTGCACGAAGAACAAAGAAGGGAGGAACTTATCAGTCACTCAGAAATCCTCCTCTCTTCTATCCCTTCCGTAGCCCCAACCAATCAAATCCTTTCACAAAATGGATCCTCTGTTGTACTTTCCATAGCCCCAATCAATCAAACCCTCAACCACGGTTAAGTGCCCACTCCACCGTTATTGGATTACACGACACAGTTTTAGAAAATCATGGACGATGTCCCGTACGCCACGAACGATCTTCAACAAGATCGCTATCACAGAGTCGCCTTCTTCCCTCCCCTCCCCTTCTTTTCCTCCTCTCTCTCATTTTCATCCATCTCGTCCTCCTCCTCCTCGACTTACCCTCCTCCTACTACTTAGCTTCTATCTCAACGTCGTACTTCTACTCCCCGTAAACCTCGCTCCCTTAACCATCCTTCCTTCCTTCTTGTTCTGTTCCACGACTGAGGAACATGCCGTGACTGAAACGAAGTCCTAATAATTGCACAGAGTCCAGAAAAATTCAGAAAGAACAGAGACAAAATAGGTCCATCGCCGATAAATTATTGATTCAGGATCGATGACAGCATCGACGAGCCAACCCCTTCGTCGTCACCAATGGCAACCAATCCCAATAGAATATCTCATCACGACACCTAGTCACTCACAACGCAAACAACTCACCTATCCACCTACAGGCTACTACTATATCCTGTACAACAAGCAGTTTCTGCACAGCCTCCTTGTCTACGTTTAGCATCTCTCTCTCTCTCTCTCTCTAGCAAACAAGAGCAGGCAATGGCACAATAAACGAATGCACACGAATGCACCGACAACCCGACAAGAGTGACCACAAGCGCGAGCCTGACACAAAAAATAAAATAAAGTACGGTAATCCAAGTAGTACCTTCTAGATACCTAGCTTTCCTTCACCGTACTAGTTGCCAGCAGCCCCTTCTCCCTTTCGCCGCCGCCAAGCGCCGGAACGCAGCAGTACTTTCAGGTGTCTTTTCCGTCCTCCTCTTCCCACTGTGGCATGCCCACGCAGCAAAAGGTACACTCGTCACTGGCCTCCACCTCGTGGGGCTTCTTAAAGGCTTTCCCTGGTTGAAATCCCAGCCAGGTCACAAGCTACACCAACATCATGTCCCCCCCCCCGATTGGATGGTGCCCCTGAACCACATCGGCGACGCATGCGTCGGGACCTGAGGGGTAGAAACGACAGCGAGAGAGAAAGATGGTCTACAAACAGGTCCCCATAGAATGGCCAACTAAAAAAACATTCTACGTACTACTATGTACTTGGGTACATCCTCCTCTATTACACAGCCCCAACTGGCGAACCATCCCCACAGCAGCAGTGCTACAGCAAGCCACGGCAGCGCCAAGGGCTGCACCGGACTACTATCGCGGGATACCAGCGGGGTTAGCAGGACGAGTATCGTACGGTGGGTAAGCAACCGCTTGGGACGGAGAGCGGACCGGCGTTCCTACTGCAGCCGCATTGGGATAACGAGACGTAGAAGCTGGATATGGCGGTCGTCCTCCTCCAGGATGCATAAGATTGTATTGATACCCCACCTCCGCTCCTCCTGCTTGAGGAGGAGGTTGATCATAGAGCGGGCGAGACGGAGGGTACACTCCTACTCTTCCTGGGTGTGGCATGTGGTTTGCATGCCCGCCTCCTCCCGCTCCCCGTCCTGATGGTCCTGCGTATTGAGCGCCAGAACCTATCCTCTCCCGAAGAGCTGAACCGCTTCTTGACCCTTCTCTCTGCAGGGTCTCGGTCTCCTCGATATACCTTACCACGTCACCGATGTTCGGCCGATTTAACGAATGAGGCTCGCAACACATCATGGCGCAGTCGGCTAACTTCCACAGAGCGTCCACCGAATACGCGCCTTCAGCGATCCTATGATCGAGCACACTGCGTATGTTCCCCTTCTTCATCTCCGCCCTCGCCCACTTCACAAGGTCGAATCGCCGCCTTCCCGTGATTATCTCCAACGGCTTTCTTCCCGTGATCAGTTCCAGCACTACCACACCGAAGCTGTACACATCCGTCCTTTCCGTCAGCCGACGAGTTTGGAAGTACTCCGGGTCCAGGTAACCTTGCGTTCCCTTGATGTTCGTCGTCAAGTGAGTGTACTCCTCGTCATCGGGGAGAAGTTTCGACAACCCAAAGTCCGCCAGCTTCGCATGCATCTTCTGATCAATCAAGATGTTGGACGGCTTGATATCGCGATGAATGACGCCCGGGGTCACGTGGATATGAAGGTAACTGAGAGCGCGTGCCACGTCGAGAGCTATCGAGATCCGGGTGAGCCACGGCAATCCCGATGGCGTAGCCTTGGAGCCGTACAGATGATCGTTCAGAGTCCCATTCGAGACGTACTCGTAAACCAAGGCGAGACACCCGGGGTCATCGCAATACCCTACCAAAGTGACAAGGTGCCGATGATGAAGACGGGGAAGAATCTCGATCTCCTTGACAAGCTCATTGATTCCCTGCCGCGAATTCACACCCAGCTTCTTGATGGCCACGGTCTGCTGAGTGTTCACTGAAGTTCTAAGGGTGGCCTTGTACACCGTGCCAAATCCGCCCCCTCCAATCCTCGTGGAAGCGTCGAAATTATTAGTAGCTCTCTTTATCTCCTCCGCCGAGTACTTCTTCACCTGAACACTTCCAGCCGTCGGCTCTGGAATTTCCGGCTTCGAAATATCTTGGTCGGAATCCGGCGGCTTCATAGGATACTTCATGGAGCCGCCCTTCGACGGCCCCAGCCGCATTGTCGGACAGCAGCAACCCATCGCTGACAAACTACTACTTTACCTTTTGTATCCTAGAACTAGACAAACTAGTCAACAATAGCGCGCTCCGCTGGCAACTGCCCCCTCCGCCGCCTCCGCGCGACGCCCGCGCTCCAGTTCACAGCGGCCGCACGGCCGCACGGCCGCCGCCGCCACCAGGAAGAAAGGGCGCGCACTCCAGCTTATTTGCACCAACTCGAAATCCCGTGTCACGCTACAGGACCGACATCGCCTGATGAGCCGGTCCTCGACGCCACGGCAGCCGTTAACGGAATCCCTTATAACCCTACCCTCTCCTTGTCGAATGTTGAGCACTTTCGTCGGTCTTGCAATACACAGTCGCAATACGGAGAGAAAGAGACTAAAAAAAAAAAAAAAACACTAATTCAGAAAAAAAGCACTAACACTTTTGGAGGGGAAAAAGCACTGGTTAAAGCAGAACGCAACAAGCAGTCGGTGGTCGTCTATGGTTCGACCGACCCCTGATTAGTTGCGTAGGGATGGATGGATTCCTTGATTGAATACCCTCACGACTTACCCGTCAAGCAGCGCGGCGTGATAAACTTACAAATAGAGCGAGCAAGCATTCCAGCTGGGAAGAGAAAAAGCCGAGCCCGTCGAACACGACCGGATGCTTGTTCCCGTCCTCCTCTCTCTTCTCTTCTCTCCCCTGCTGCTGTGTTATTTCCCTTGTTCTTCAAAACTAGTCCCCTACTTCTTCCAAGCTAACGCCGTCATCCTTCCCCTCTTCAAACACAGTCTTACCACCGCGACTATTCCCATCCGTCCAGTGCGCCCTCTGTCTCCTCCTCTACTCTAGTCCACTCGCTCCTAAAGCTTAGAAGACGTCAATCCACCTCACACCCTCCTTTTGCGGCCGCCACTCACACCGTCCCTTCCCTCCTCCTACACTCCCCACTGCCACTTCGCCACGTGACCGATTCCGAATCACTTCATCACTCACAACCTAACCACGATCCGATCTCCCACCGTTGAGGGGGTCTTCCCCCTTCCGCCCCCCCAAAAAACTGGATATCTTCGCCGTGCACCCTTCAGCCGCTTAGCGGTGACCTTGGTTCCGCCTTCCCCTTCTCTCTACTGTTTGCAAACTGCTTTCGTCGACGAGCATCCCCGACTCGTCCTCCGCGTCCATGGCCTTTCTGTCTCGCCTTTCTTCGAGTCCTCCTCGTCGGCTCATTACCTTCCGAACAAGCAGGTTCAAGGAACCTTCTCACCAGTCACTCCCCCTCCTCCAGCCATTTTAACCCAGCCAGCCTAACCTCCCTCGTCCCCACAACCCGCAAAAGGTCTGGTGCCACAAGAATAAGATCGTGATTGAAGATGCCGTTCCCTCGACGCCTTGACGTCTTCTTCAATACAGCTATGGCCACCAGCAGCTAAGTAAAGCCTTCTTAAGCCTCAAGCCTCTCTCCTCTCTCTCAAAGTTGTGTCCCCGGTGACTCCATTACGTTGACAATTAAACAGCGTGCGTCGACAAGCTGCCGCTCCCCTGCATACGAAAGGTAAACATGTGAAAAAGTTGAGAACGCTCAACATCAGATTTCAATTAAGTACTCGAATGATGCACAGTCATTAATGGCTATAATTAAAGAGCAAGCAAACCAGTCAATACTCCACTGTTGCATCATTACACTCTAGCACAAAGGGTGTCACTTCCTTGTAGATTCGTCTGGCTGTCAGATGCGCCTAACTTCAGCCCGCAGTCAGAATATCCTCAGAACTACCGAAAGGCCTCCAGGTAGACAACTAAATAGAGATGGTTCTGCATGTTGCCCGATAGCAAGACCATGTACCGACTGTGCTCTGCATACTCTACCTCAAACAAGAAAATGAAGGCCAGAGAGAAGACCACCTGGAACATTTGTGAGGTCGCTACTCGTTTTCCTTGTCTGTACTGACGGATGCACTGCAATGTTCAATGAATCTTCATTCCGACGCCGGATGCAAAAATACAACAACGATGACAGATGAAAAGGACGGAGAATGACAACGACCAGCTAGAGGGTGACGACTCACACCAAGACACTTCGAGGCCAATGTATGTAGTACGTAATTCCGGTTATATACATTCACGGCCTACTGTAATTGCAGTCAGGTACGTCCAGAAAAGTCAGCGTGAGTATGCTCTCACGGTCGCAAAATGGTGCCGTAGGGGAGGAATTTGCAGTCGACAGTGTTTCTCCTCCCCAGCCCGAACTGCGCTGTCGTATGACGATAGAGAAACAAGGAAGTCCGATGCAGGGGGAGGGGTGGGGGAAAGCACGGGAGGACTCGTGGCCATGCCACCAGGCTCAAAAGAGGCCGAGGGAAGAAATAGCAAACAAGGAGAAGGGTGCAGAGGCAGAAATATAGATAGAAATAAGGGGGTCATCTGCCCATGCCACGTGGCAGAAGGTAGGGGTATAGAAAGGACGTGGGAGGAATGACAAGAAAGAAGATAATATAAAAGAAGCACCACCCAGGGGACGTCACTCACTGATACACACAACCAACTAATTTTTTGGGAGGACACAGATCATGGCCTTGGATGCTGATGCAATCACATGATATTAAAACTAATACTACGACTAGATGACCCGCTGCAAAACAGGAGGGAATACCAACGAGCTTTCTTTTTCTTTGTTTTGCGGCAGTTACTTCACTTGTTATATGTGGTGTTCCATGGGCGGAACGTTATTTTTCTTGTGCTGTGTCGAAAGACCAGCACAGGTGTTTGCTGTCCTGTTGATCTGCGCTTTTCGGACGAGATGCTGTCCTGTTGATCTGTTTGCTGAGAATTCCAATCCCCAGTCTATTTGCCATTTCTAAATACGCACGACCGTGCTTGCCAATCTTGTACGCATAACCGTGCTTGCCTCTCTCTCTCTCTCTCTCTCTCTCTCTCTCTCTCTCTCTCTCTCTCTCTCTCTCTCTCTCTCTCTGTGTGTGTGT